GTTACCAAATAGTGTGTATAGTATACTGTCTGCTAATTAAAACATCAAAGGAAAGACGGTGGAAAGCAAGAATACACCTATTCATATTTGCTTATATATGGGCAAAGAAGCTCAGGAAAGTTACACAAGAAGCTAATAACAGTGGCTAATTGTGTTGGCAGAGGAGAAACTTGGCAGATAATGGACCAATGTGGAGGGATGACATTTCTCTGCATACATTATTATATAAACATTTGAAAAACTTCTTCTAAAGATACCCCATAATTCGCAATAACCAGTTTACTCCTTTAGTTCCAAAAGCAGAACCTTTATCAAAACACCAATATTCCAAGGAGGAGACAGATCCTGTGTGGGGCCTGTGGACCTCTATTTTTATTTGCCTCTAAGAATCCATTCCTGGGTTGGGAATGTGGCTCAGAGGTAGAGTGCTTGCTTAGCATGCATAAAGCCCTGGGTTTGATTCTTCAGTACCACATAAACAGAAAAAGCTGATAGAGTGCTAGGTTTGAGCAAAATAAGCTCGGGGACAGTGCCCGGGCCCTGAGTTCAAGCCCCAGGACTGGGGCAAAAAGTCCACTCCTGTAATTTTTCTTTCCTCGCCCCAGAGACCTCCAAGTGAACTAGCTACTTGAATATTGGGTTCTTACTAAAGGGCTCATAGGCATAACTGAAAATTCCTACTCTCTTCCTCTTCCTCTCTCTGTCTCTGTCTCTGTGTCTCCCTCTCTCAAACACACACTAAGGTGTCAGTCATGTGTGATAATTGGCCCCTTTCTCATGATCAGGTTTCTGTGGTAAGCTTTATACTCCTCAGTAACCCCAGGACCTTGCTATGCCTAGATTTTAGCAGGCTTTGCTTTCTTCAGCTCCCCCCCCCTTTTTTTTTCCCTGAGATTCTCCCTCAATAAAACTTTTCCCAGAATCCCTCTCATCCTTTACTTCTTCTTCTTTATTTATTTATTTTTTTGCCAGTCATGGTGCCTGAACTCTGGGCCTGGGCACTGTCCCTCAGCTCTTCAGCTCAAGGCTAGTGCTTTACCACTTGAGCCACAGCACCACTTCCAGCTTTTTCTGCTTATGTAGTGCTGAGAAATCGAACCCAGGGCCTCATGCATGCAAGGCAAGCGCTCTACCACTGAGCCACCTTCCCAGCCCCTCCTTTACTTCTTGTACACAAGCTAAGACAGTCACAAAATAAATCCTTTTCTAAAAATAAACACCCAATAGACCCTTCTTTCAAGCACAACATGAACATCTATATGTGTGTGTCTGTGTGTGACTGTGTTTGTGTGTGTGTGTGTGTGTGTCTGTTGGTGCTGGTACTGAGGCTTGACCGCACTCAGGGCCTCACGTTATCACTTTTTCACTCAAGCTTGGTGCTCTACCACTTGAGTCATACTTATAGCTTTTTTTTGTCGGTCATGGGGCTTGAACTCTGGGCTTGGGCACTGTCCCTGAGCTCTTCAGCTCAAGGTGAGCGCTCTACCACTTGAGTCACAGTGCCACTTTTGGTTTTGGAGTGGTTTATTGGAGATAAGAGTCTCACAGACTTTCCTGCGCGGGCTGGCTTTGAACCGTGATCCTCAGATCTCAGCCTCCTGAGTAGCTAGGATTACAGGCATGAGCCACGGGCGCCCGGCACATCTAGCTTTTTTTTAGGGGGTGAGGTGGGGGGGGGTTCCGGTCGTGGGACTTGAATTCTGGGCCTGGGCACTATCCCTAGGCTCTTCAGCTCAAGGCTAGTGCTCTACCACTTGAGCCACAGCGCCACTTCCGGCTTTTTTTCTTTTTGCTTATGTGGTGCTGAGGAATCGAACCCAGGGCCTCATGCATGCAAGGCAAGCAAGCACTCTATCACTGAGCCACCTTCCCAGTCCTACTCCTACATTTTTTACTGGTTAATTGGAGGTAAGAGTTTTATGGACTTTTCTATCTGGGCTGACTTTGAACTTCAAGCCTAAGATCTCAGCCACTGTAATGACCTAATGCCAACCCAAAGCAGATATTGTGGCTGGACTCAATAGCTCATAGTTCTGATTTCAGTCACTAAGAGACCCCAGGTTCCAGGACTGATAACCAGTGTCCTAAATTAGCCAGATATCCTGGCAAGTAACTGGTCAGGACAGGACAAGACAGCAAGGTTGGGATGGGGAGGGGATTCGAAAGCTGAGATGGATTATCAGTTGGTTTTGCCTGCTATGGCAGAGAACATGAGTCAGCCACCATAATCCATTGGTGTCAATATATGGCTGAGAAGAGTGTATCTTCCCTATATTAACTGCCATCAAGTTGTAGCTAAATCCTCCCCGTGGCTCCAGTTACTGCCTCATGTAGGCTGGCACCTTTGGGTGGTAAGCTATAATCCTTCTGTACCTGTCACAAACATGGCTGTCACCCAGCCCACATTTTGTTAGCTTTCAGGACTGTGTGAAGGTGATCCTAACTCACTCTGAAACTCTGTCCAGGGATTTTTCCAGGCTCAGGACACATGCTTGGCCAATGCCAGCATGTGCAGGTTAGAAGGGCCCAGAAATGAACAGTTAGATGATATTCAAGCGAAAATGGACAAGAAGTTAATAGTTTCTTGTCCCTCCTTTCCTACCTCTCAGAGGCCCCTGGGGGGTGGGGGATTAAACTCAGTTGTATGCAGCAGTGACTCTTGGTTCTATTCCCTTTACTGACTTTTCCTTCTTGTAACCCTAGAGGTCCATACTTCTACAGATGCTTCACGGGATCAGCTCCTAAGCAGGATACTAGAATTTGAACCTTTGCCTCAGAATCTACTTGTCAAGGAAGCAAAACCATTAGGACCCCTCTGAGGCCCATGGACTCCCAGCTTCAACCATCCACAGGCTGACAAGATCCTGGGATAATGACACGTGTCACATGGCAGCACAACATGAAACCTGGGTCCCTGAGTGATGGACTAGGAGAACCACAAAACCTAGAAACTGCCACATGAGAAACAACCTTCTCTCCTTTATACCACAGAATTTTTGCCAGGCACCTTTGCATAGGAGCTGTGTTTTCTCTTAACCACCATGCCAGCCTAACATCCATTTCCCCTTCAGATCTTGGCATCCTGACTTCCTTCTGGGGCATCACCTTCCCAGGGGCATGACTGACCTGCTTGCTGTACCTGATTGGATGGAAGCAAAAGCATGTGGCTCATGCCTGGGCCAAAAGGGCACCATGCATCCCCAGGACATAGTGATGGTTCAAGTGAGTTCCAAAGCCAAACCCAAGGTCTCAGTCTGAAAAGGAAATCATTTCCTGGGCTACCATACATTGGGATAGAAGCCCTGACAGTGGATGAGTCTCCACAAGAGCCTGGCTGAGAAAAAACTACCATGGGGAAAATGGAGGTAAGACATAGAGTTGAAGATGAGAGAGGAGGACATTGTTTAAGCTCTGGCTACACCTGAAACTGAAGCCTTAGTCTTTAGGGAGTACATGTCTTTCTCTGCTTACCCCTTTCAACCTGGCTTTCAAAAGAGTTCTATTTAATAAAAATTTGGCCAGCTAGGCACTGGTAGTGCATGTCTGTAATCCTAGCTATTCAGGAGGCTGAGATCTGAGAATTGTGTGGTTCAAAGCCAGCCTAGGCAGGAAAGTCCATGAGATACTCATCTCCAATTAACCACTAAAAAGCTGGAAATGGATCTGTGGCTCAATTGGTAGCACTCCAACCTTGAGTACAAAAGCTCAGGAAGAGTGCCCAGGCCTTGCCCCAGGGCCAACAAACACACACACACACACACACACACACACACACAAGTCTTGGTATGTGGCTTAGTGGTAGAGTGTTTGCTTAGTATGCATGAAGCCCTGGGTTTGATTCGTCAAAAGCCGGAAGTGGCACTGTACTCAAGTGGTAGAGTGCTGGCCTTGAACTGAAGAGCTCAGGGACAGTGCCCAGGCCCTTAGTTCAAGCCCCAGGACCAGCAAAAAAAAAAAATCTGGGGGCTGGGAAGATGGCTCAGTGGTGGAGTGCTTGCCTTGCATACATGAGGCTCTGGGTTTGATTCTTCAGCACCACATTAGCAGAAAAAGCTGAAAGTGCACTGTGGCTCAAGTGGTAGAGTGCTGGCCTTGAGCTGAAGAGCTGAGGGAGCGCACTCAGGCCCAGAGTTCAAGCCTCACAACCGACAAAAAAAAAAAAAGTGCCATGGCTGACCAGCCTGTCCTGTTCAACTCACCCAGCAGCTTATGAGTCTGAGGCTTTCCTGACCAAGGGGCTTCCCAAAGGAGGGTCTGGACCCATGTTCTGCCCTTCCCAACATGGAAGTACCATGGAAATGTCTTATCATCCCCTGGGCAGGCTATTTCCATTTTCCAACCCCATCTCAAGGTGGCCTTGATTGCTAACCTCCTCTGCCTATGGGGATGGGACTCTAAAGTAGGGAGCAAGAGGGAAGTCACCAAAGGTAGCTGCCCAGTGCTGGGTTTTCCACCAACCATCTGTTCTACCCAACAATCAAGATTAGTTTCCTTGGGCTGGGAATGTAGCTCAGTGGTAGAATGCTTGCCTAGCATGCATGAAGCTCTGGGTTCAATTCCTCATTAACACATAAACAGAAAAAGCCAGAAGTGGCACTGTGGCTCAAGTGGTAGAATGCTAGCCTTGAGCAAAAGAAGCTCAGGGACAGTGCCCAGGTTGAGTTCAAGCCCCAGGACTGGCAAAAAAGAAAAAGGGAGGGAGGGAGGAAGAGAGGGAAAGAGGAAGGTAAGGAGGGAGGGAGAGAGGGAGGGAGGGAGGGAGGGAGGAAGGAAGAAAGATTGATTTGCTTCCTCACCAATACAACTCAAACTTCTCCCAAGTTACTTGGAGTCCAAAAATCACACAAAAAACCCTAAACAGGGTTTGTAACAGGGTTTCACTCACTTGAATGTTTCATTTATTAAAATAATTCTGTAAACTCTGTCAACATATTCATTTTCCTGGCTTGAGTAGCATTTCAAGGCACCATAAAATGATAGTCTCTTCAAGAGTACCCCTCTGTCCGTGTATGAAAATTCTACTTAAAAACAAAGCAACAACAACAACCACAAAACATGGAGTGTAGAAAACAGACTTTGGTTGACGCAACCAAGTTCAACACGACACGCAGTACAGGGTCAGATGTGGCAGGGTAACTAAAGACCTGCGAAGAGATCCTACTGCTCCATCCAGAAAGGACACAGGGGAACTGAACACTTGTCATTAAAAAACAGCCAGTGGGATAAAGGTTGGGTGGGAGGAACACCCTCACAACCAAAATCCAGGTAAAGGTGGTGAGGCTGGTATCTCTCCTCCCCTACATGTCCTCACTTCCTTTCCTCCTCCTCGCTCAGAGTGATTCTCTCCTGGTGTGTGGATGTCAGCTTGCTCTGCAACAGGGCCGCCAGTTTTTTGGATGTCTTTTTGAGAAACGTGCTGCCCGGATGGGCACTGTTCACATGCAGGTACAGGTCTTCCTGGGTGGGGCCTGTGTAGCCACAATCCTCACAGACATAGAGCTTGTCTCGGCGCTGCTTGTAGGCATACTGCTGCTGCACCCCATGGATCTTCTTCAGGTGGGACTCCAGCGAGCAGCGCTGAGTGAAGGCCTTGTTGCAGACATCACATTTGTAGGGGCGAATGCCTGCAAGAAACATCACCAGTTGGTTCTGGCCAAGCCACAGACTCGCACCTAGAAAACCACTAAAGATTGCCACCACCAAGATCTGTAACAACCTGAGGGAAGTAATCAAAGCAGGGCAGCAGACTGACCACAGAGACTCAATATTCACACAGCAAGCTTACTACACGTTGCCACACAAAGAGCAAAAGTCCCCACCCTCAACAACAACAACAACAACAAAAGACCAAGCACCTGTGGCTTATATCTGTAATCCTAATTACTCAGGAGGCTGAGATCTGAGGATCACAGTTCAAAGTCAGCCCAGGCAGGAAAAGTCTTAAGAGAC